TTACTAAGATGCAGCTCTTCTGGTAAGGTCTATGTAGAGAGAACCAGAGAGACCTACCTTTATGCTATCGTGTTTGAGAAGTTTCCTATAGTTCTGAAAATTAAGGGTACCTTTAAATGTTGCTGTGTGGTTCCTTCTATTCTTGATCATTAGCAAATATATATTAGCTTTCTAATACATTTATAATACATAGATGAGGTCTAGCAAAAAGCCTTGAGGAATTCATACCTTTATGAATTGTCATGCACAGGATTGCCCCCCAGTTCACTTCTTTTTCCCCTCTATGCCAGCTTCCAATCCATGACACGATTTTGCTTTTTACTCTGGTTTGACTTCCACAGTCTGAATTAATTATGTAATTTTCCCCCTCTTCATGTCATCTTGATTTCCATACTAAAATCTAGTAAGAAAGAGTTAAATATTAAGAGTAAAAATGTTCTCTCCTCTTTATGATATATTCTCGTAAAGAATCATTTGAATTCTTTGGTGTAACCAGGCAGTATGAAGAACTACAGGCCCATCTATACATTGTTCATCCCTGGTTTTATTATCACTAGTGTTGCCATAATACAGAAGAAATCAGAAATATAATAAAATATCACTTCCATGTTTTACATTTTTTTTTTATGAGCACACTGTTTACTATAATGATTCTTTTAAAAGCTTTCTTAGACTGTTCCCTCCCCATTTAAGTGATTTTTTTTAAAGAGTTATAAAATATGTTTTAAGCATGGTTTATTTTGGATGGATATAAGCTTGCAAATCTGTGAGCAACTTTTCAGACTACAGTTTTAAGTATATGTCTCCTAAACTACAAAATACCTGAAGGATGCTGCTGTGTGGGAATTTCTGAAAACTCATTCAGAATTTAAAATCTGTTAGACAAAAGAACACATGTTAACACATACTAACAGGTCTTGTAGAACATGATGGGAGATGGGACATGGTGACTCTTGCTCTTAAAGGAGTGAAGTGCAGCCTGCCAGGAAGATAAGTGAGAGAGATGTTGAAAGAGAGAAGTTAGGGCATAAGTATGTTACAGCCAGCAGAGAAAAAAGAGCATCATGGGCAGATGTTTTTGAATGCATTGGTGAATTTGCATCAGATTTCCGAGTGGCATTTAGGAACTGAAAGATGCTTTTGAACAGTACAGAACAATTTACTGCCTACAATTCTGTTATGAAGAAAACTTCCGTTCTTTACAAAATGGTCATGTCCAACCTGAAATTAATACATGATTTAATAGGCTGAAACACAAAGAATCATGATGATAATAACTGTGGTTAATTAATAAAGACATTTTTAGAGAATTAAGGTAACAGAAGCATCCATGTGTTCAAAGTCTTCCTTCTAAAAACTTATTTTGATGTTTGCTTGGATATGCTGTATTTTTCATTGCATTTAGAGTAGAGAGAGCAGGAGGTTATCCCAGAAAGACTGGAAAAACTTGATGTCTTACTGGCAGTTGGAATATTCAGCATTAGGATAAACTACTAGTTATGAGTAACAGCACTTCTTGGACAGTTAATTTTATTTATACTGTTTATATGAGCTACATAAAAATACAAGTGCCTTTGGTTTTGTGTTAGTAAAGGCAATTGTCATGTTCTGTTCTCTTTGTCCTCTTCTAGGAGTTTATATTACCTTTAATACACTTGTTGTTCTCTATGTAGGATGTGTATTTCAGACAGATATATTCTGTCTTGCTGATCTTCATAATTCTATTGAGATGCCTCTGATTTTACGTAGCTTTCTGTTCATATCATATTGATATAAAGGTAAAATTGTTCTTAAATGCCCTTGTTTTTAATTGTGAAATAGCTAAAATATACACATATATCCTAGGGACTTAGTTTTGATTTGTAAAATTCAATAACTGAAGTTAATTTTTGTCCGTATCCAAATTTTCCTAAACTTTCATATTTTGGGAAGTTTGAACAAAAGGCAGTGCTTTACTGTCAGCATTTTAGTAGGGGGAAAAAGAAAAAATTCAGGCAGATTTTTTTTTTTTTTTCAAAATCTGTTCAGTTTGTGCATGTGAAAATACACAAAATGAAAGATTATTTGATCTGCCATCATTTGGGGCACATCATCACACTTTTTAGTGAAAGAGATTTTAGTAAAAAAGTTTCTTTGTATCATTCACTCGTATAATTTCTTACCCTGAGACACTTTTTTTGCTGTAACACAAGGGGAACCTTTGGTGAATCCGGGCTAAATGGGTGAAATAAATGTCTGTCCCCAGACACAGAGGTAGTTTGAAGCAATACACCTCCAAAGGATTTAGATAGCTCAGCAAGGCAGCTCAGTGAGGAGTGCAGCTGGGTGAGTGGGGTTTGGTTTGGTTTTACTGGATAGCACACCAACCTACCGTGCTTTCTGCTGCTCCAGGTCTTGTGCTATCTCCCAAGCTGTGCCAGGCCGACTGCTTGCATCATTGGGTGGTGAATGAAGTCTAGGGGTTGATTTCGCTTTAAAATAACCCTTTTTTGTCTCGATGCTACTGAACAAAGTCTTTGTCAAACTGCAGCCTAAAAGGTTTCTATTTGCTTGGTAAGAAAGGCAAGAGTTTGGCTCGCCTGTGCAGCCTAGCAGGCCAGTGAGAGGGAAGATGACAGTAAGCACTGCCACAGAAGGACAATTCTTTTAAGCACATTCTATGCTGGAAAGATAAACTTGGATTTGTGAGCAATGGGGCTGCTGCTTGTGTATTCTCCCTGCATTCACTGAGACAGAACTCGTATATGTTCTTTGTAAATAAACCTGATTATATGCAATGAAAAACTTGCCCCTTGTCAGCCATTCCTCCCCATAATGGGAGCAGCCTGGCAGTCCTCCAAATCCTGAATGAACCATTCCTGAGGGAAAGATCACCGTGATATTGGTGAGGCTTTGATAAACACTCAGGAACTCAGGGTTTTGGAATGGAGCTGTAAGAATATTCTAGGCCTGCCAGTTCATCTGAAAATAAAACAAATGTATTTGACAGTGCATTGTGGTGGGATCTGTCTTCTCTGGCCTCAGGAGGACCACAGACTTTTGGCAGGGGTTGTCCTGACAGAGAATATGAAAATGAAGACAACATTACTGAACCCGTTTGTTTAAATCTCTGCTGAAGCTCTACAGTGAAAGACCAAGGAAGTTATTTACTGAACCCATGCTGTGAAGATAATATCAATATCTTGACTGTTATCTTGATCTACATGACAGACACTGAGGAAAAACCATGAGTATTGCCACCCTGCTAGTTTGCAAATTCCAGACTCTACAGAAGAACAAAGTAAACTCTTCCATTTTTGGGTACTGTGGCAAACTCTAAATAGCAATGCAAAAATATTTGCTGTTTTAAAAGCAACCATGTATTTCTAATCCTTTTTTTTAGCCTCATGTCTGTTTTGCAGTCAGCATATTGTCTTATATATCTAGTCTATAAACTAGGTGTTGCTTTGTGAATTGCCAATAAATCTTATGCATTTACTGCCACTGCTCTTGCTTTCTCCCTGGAATTTTTGCTTAGTGTTCATACATAAAGAGCAAGTCACTGAAGACTTTGAACTATTGCCTACTTTCTCTATCATCTATTTGCCAATGAAAAAGAATTCTAAAATAAGTTATTAACTTCAGAATACTAAACATATTTCAAAATAAAGTAAAAAAGCTTTTTGAACTGCTGTTTTGCACTAATATTGGTGACTGCTAGGTCACCCATATAAATATATAGTAGAGTATCAAGGCTCAAAGGCTGATACCTAGTTCATTTCCGACAAGTATTGCAAGAGAAGTCTCACCCCTGCAATGCAGGGTGCAACAAGGATGCAAACTAACATAGGATGAAAAAATGAACCAGGTGTACTGCTTTCAGGATTGAAACTTTCTGTCAGCCTCCAGAAAGAAATGGTTTGATGTAAGAAAAATTGTTCTGTGTAAGACCAAAAGATGCAACACAATCTGATAAATTAGCAATTGTGTTTAGTAACAAAGTGGCTTTTCAGCTGACAGCTGTTTCACCAGACAATTTAGTTAGAGGCCAGATGGCCAAAGGGACACATGGTGGAAAGTAGTTTATTAGTGTGACTCCACATAGGGAGAAATTCATAATTCATATATGTTTGAAACATCCAAGATTCAATTAATGGAGTTAGTATGTAATGCCTAGAGCTTTTTGTCTGTTCAAAGCTGTGCTCAAGCTTGTTCTCCCAGCTCTACTGCAAGGTGAAGCAGCAGACTACAGCATGACTCCTGTCTTAGAGATGTGGCTCATAGCTCTGGTTCACACATGGCTAACTGCCTCTCCACCTCCCCTCCTGACAACTGATTTTGTCTATGATATCAGCCTATGCCACTTACTATTCTGCACATTTCATTTCACATGTCATTTTTCTGCCTTTCATCTGGCATTGTGGTATGGTGGGAAGAGATAATACCTAGAACAGAAGTAGGTGTGGGCTTTTGGGAGGTTCAGGAGATGTGGGGTTTACTCTCATCTTATGGAAAGTTGTCTGTAGATTTAGGTGGGAGAACAACATTAGTTTTTCTATCTAGCAGAAAAGGCAACTTCCAAAGACTGAAGTTTTGGGCTTTTTAAAAATAAACTATAATGGAATATTTTCAAGTTTCAACTCACATTTTTTGTTCTGCCACGAAGTGGATGACTTAGTATTACTAATTATCACAAGTTAAACTGTCTTTGGAAAACTAACACCACCTTCTGACTGCTCAGGGAAATGCAGTGACTGGTTTGTATTTAGACTGGTTTGTATTTAGACTTCTTAAATCTCACACAACTTTTTTTTTAAATATTTTCAATATCAAGACTTTGAATATTGTGAATTTCATTGATTTCAGTTATTGCCTTTGCTGGCTGCTACTGATGCTGCTTTCTATTAACCAAGCAGATTTTCTTACCGATTTCTGGGAAAGAATTTAGGACTTTGCTTCCTTTTTAATGCCCTTAATACTATGCTTAAACTCCTACCTGATTCATGGCAGGTTTTGACACAATGCACACTCTGAGTAGTGACGAATTGTCAAGTGTGAGGATAAAGGTGACAAAAGGAGGTAGGCTGCTCTCACTGTAGGACCATACCACACCTTCCACAACTTGCACTGTCACAGAGGGAAGCCAAAGCCAGTTCTAAGCTGCTCTTCAGTATTAATCACACAATTTCATATGTCCATACTAGGTCTTTTGGAGGATGGGAAATCGGCTCAGACAGGTGTAACTACAGCATCAGTCACCGCTGGAACACTGAATGCTGAGAAGAGGAATAACTGTGGTCCTCAGTGTGTGAACCCCATGGTTCATGGCACAGGATCTGTGACACAGAGACAGAATGGCTCCAGGACAGCAGAGGTAAGAGTATGATTACGTTCCCTGATGGTCTGCACTAGCTTCAACCAGGTCAAACTTATTTTTGTGACAATATTCCTCACTGCAGTCAAACTGTATTTAATGCCTTGGGATAAAAGAAAATGGTTCCACCACACCCATGGCATGATTGAGCATCTGACAAAGCCTCATGCCTGGATGGCCACAAAAAAGATGGTTTAGTTGGCAGAGTAACACACACACTTGTTGCAGCAAAAAAAAACAAACCCAAGCTTATTTTTTGCCACCTCAGTCCGGCTGTGGCATGCACTGTGCAAACTGTTTATATTAATTATAGGGAAAGGAGTGGATTTTTCCTTAATCATTGTTTTTCTTAAATGATGTGCACTGCATGAACATTCATGTTCATTCAAGGTTGGATGTGAAGTCTGAAAGAATCAATGAGAGTCTTTTCAATAACTTCAGTAGGCCTTGGATCAGATTCCCCCTTTGCTGCCTCACCTATATGTTGTATATGTTGTAGAAGTATCATCCAGTGTAATAATACATATGAACACTGAAGGCTTTGGAGCTAGACCAAAGCCCAAACTTCTCCTGTCCTAGCTGCCTACCTGCCTGTGTCTCACAGGTTTCCACATGCTGAGCTGTTCGTGTAGCAGCTGCTGCAGATGAAAGTAATCCAAAAACTGTGGTTGGTTTACTGCTTCCTTGGTTTCTCAGGTGGGAAGACCTCTTATCACAGCATGTGGTGGAACCACTACATGCACCCTATAAGAAGCTATCCTCTCTTGGGAATCACACCCTTGAGAGAGGGAAATTTAAACCTGAGGGGCCTGAGCAAATGAAAAAGGGAATTTGGATTGAACTTCACCTTGCATTTGCTAACAAACAATGCGTTGGTACAGAAATGTTTATTTTATACTTTCACTGTATTACCTTCTGAACTGCTGTGGTACTGAAATATTCACACGTGACATGGAGCCTGCTGAATCTTGCCATGAGATTCTGCAGCTCCAGACACAGAGAGACACATTCTATAGCAGCATGACATCTAGAGGCATGGGTTTGCTGTAAATGAAAAACATAAATGCCTGTCATAGCCACTAGCCCACAGAGAAAAATGAACTGGTCAGGCTGGATATGGCTGAATAGAACTAACATAGTTGTTAATCTAATTTGAAAAAGACTTGGCCACACTTGAGAATTATAGCATATACCTGACCAACTGTTGGAGAAAATGGTTTGTCTAATTTTGCAAATGATTGAAAAATTACTTCTGTATTAGACTTACTAGGTAGTATTGGCAAATTCCCACAACATATTAATGATGTGAGTGTTGACTAATGGGGCTACTCAGTGAAGTGTGTATTCCTGACCTGTGGCCCTATGGCTTTGAATGTACCCTTCTGCCTTTTTCTAGCTAAAATACATTCAGTAATATATCTGTACTGTTGCAACACAGTGCAAAGAAAATTTCTGATGCTAAGTAGGGCATTTACATTATCCTGTGCATCTAATGCAGGTGTCTGAGAAAAGAAGATAGGTTGTCTAAATTTCTTATAGTCAAAAAAGAAATGTATTTTCCTTCAGTGAAAGTGTATGCTCCAAGTTAGGTGCCAGCTCTGGTTTGCCATTCTGAATCTCTGTTTCTCCACTGACTGTTCAGGGAAGTGTAAGATGAGCAGGTTTCCAATTTGAACACATGAAGTTTAGGTGCCTAGAGTTGAAAATATGACTATGCCCCTAGCTCAAAATGTGCCCATTTTATTAATCTGAATGTTCACATTGACTACAGTTTTTCTTTTATCTCCACATGCTGTAGAACATGTGCAACACATGGTACTCTAAGGAGAGGAGACTTGGGTGTCCGTTGGCCCGTGGGGTAGTACAGGGTAAATTTCTTTACCTTTCTGTTTCTCATTTTCTCAGGCATCAAGCTCTAAAGCATACTCCTGCTTTACCCCTACCATCCGTTATGTGGTATTGAAAGGGAAAGGGTTGGACAAAGGATGAGTCTGGGAAACTTTAGTATCCTCTCATGAGGGTAATGTCAAAACAACTTGGAAACAAAAGGACTGATGATGAAAAGACTCCTAATATCAGTGAGGACAGTAGGATGGTCAGGCACCCCAAAAGCAAAGGTGATACCTGGATTATGTCACTGACTCGCAACAACCTGGTTTGATTGCCATGATATGTGTAGTCTTTGGAGAGTCCCCGTGTGAACAGGAGCACTAGGGAAGTGGATAGCAAAGGAGCAGGTGTGTTCAGGCTGCAGACATGTGAAGCAATACATAGTGGCAAATAAACACCAGGTTTTGCTCTCAGATGTTTGGACCTTCCACTCATGTCGGTGGAATTTTACCAGACATTATTCCATCTGGCATTGTTATCATGTAAATGATGCTTAATTTACTCGCATTCTTTACACTTACAAGTTGTCTCATGAAACATCGAAAATGCAATAACCTAATCTACCTAACTCAGATCTGTCTCTATCAGCCTGATTCTGAATGTCCTTTGCTAGACCTATCCAGTTTACGGTGCAGTACAGTGTGTTGCTTATGGCAACAAGACAGACTAGGAGATGGATAACTTTAAATTAGGGATGCACTTGCGTGCCTTAGCCAGACTGGACTGACTCTTTTGCATATTTGGAAATAATCTGATGAAGCTCTGAAATGTATACTGTACTTGGGTCTCGTATGCCAGCATATGTCTTATACTAAATCATATTTTGAAATTATATTTTTATTTAAGAAGCATAAAATAGAGAAAAATCTGTCACACTCTACTCCCACTAGCATCAAAAGAAAGCTCTATTTTCCACTTCTGGACTGAATTCAGATTCATTTGCTCTATTTTTAGAATATACATGTGCAGAGATAATAATTACAGCTAATACGGTTAATCCAAAGTCTACTGACGTCCACAGCCTTTATAGCAGTTATAAAAACTTGTGTCCATGCTGAATGAGAAAGTTGCTCTGCATCACAGTACTGTGTGAAGAATGCTGGAGGCATTCTGTTTATTAAGTAAAACTGTTTACATGAATTAGGCAGTAATCATCAATGGGTCTGTGCTCTCAGTGTGGGACTCACTGTACTGTTTAAAACTTTCACAGCATAAATGGGACACACAGAAAATGCCCACAAAAGAAGTCACCATTAACGTTACAAAAAGCATCAGGCAAAGTGACAGAAGGAAAACAAAGAATTGTGTCAATTAACAAAGGAAACCACAGGTGAGGATGGACCTGACAATGCTTTGCTGCACTTTAAATGTCATCAGTCACTGAAGAAAGGACGATCTCCAGATTCCCTGTTGAATACAGCAGGCAACTACTGCTGAGTGCCTTCAGAAACATCTTACAGAAACCAGCTGCAGACACTGTAGAATGTTCAGGTGTCATTTGTCTAAAGCAGTGGCACTGCACAGACATACACCAGAGTTCATGCCACTTGGTTTTTAGTAAGTCCTGTGTTATTTCGTCGCATCTGTCTTGTTCTGCACTGCTAGTAGGATGAGGCTGGATGATAAGAGGTACAGTTCATTGCAGTTTAAACCAGGAAATAAACAGATGAATCTGCAATTTTTAGTCATAAGGTGTTTCAGATGTGTCCATTTAAACCCACTGATTTTATTTAAAGCACTCAAATCACACCTAGAGATCTCAGAAAGAGATACATATGTGGCTTACACTAAACCTCTCTTAAATAGATATATTGGTTATATATAGTTATGTTATATATTAAACTTTTTATACAGTAATCTTTTAATTGCTTAGTTTTAATTTATTTTCTGCACTGTCAGAGTTTAGGTCTTAAAACCAGTATCTTTCATATTTATCAGGCTTACCTGAAGTTCCTTGTCTTAGCTGGCAGGTGGGGTTCTGGCCACTTGTTTATTTTATACATGCCCCTTTAATTAGGTTGAGGCCCAGACTGACTTAGAAAAATGTGATCAATAATATTACGTGAAAATAACCATATTTCTTAAAACCGTATTCCAGTGATAGCTCTAACAATTATTTCATCAGATACAGTTGCTTTGCTGTGCAGAAATCACTCAATTGCATTGTAAGGATCCTGTATCGTAGTACTCCATCTTCATCATAAATGTACAGCTAAAAGGAATATAAAAGTTCAGTGTAGTAAAGACAAATAATTAATTCAACATATTACTTCTTAATATAGAAGTAATAACATATATTCTCTGTGAATTTGTATATTTATAGATAAAAGAGGTAAATTCATCTGCTTCCTCCATCAGACATACCTGGGTATCCTTAGAGTGCCATTTAAAATAACTATTCAAAACTTGTTCATAGCTAACAGATGACATTGGGAAGAAAATCCATGTATGAACTGTAAGAATTCCTTTATACATATAGGTAAATGAGTATAAATAGAATTTTGTGACTGAATCCGAATTTATTCCATGTTCGGATCATTTTAATAACTTGCTGCTACATGTGTGAGTACTTAATACTTTCCTTGCAGTACATGAAGTCTATGCCATAGGGAATTGTTTATTGATTATTCTGACACAAAGGCAGATTGAAATCCAGATTTAGTGCAAGATTTTTGCATACATTGTCATACTTATAACAAACATTTATTTTTATATGTATGTCCTATGAAGGGGAAAAGTACTTATGTTAAGCTCTCTGCAGGTCAGTATGTTATCTGGTAAGTGATCATGTGCTGCACCTTTGTGTAGAAGAACTAAAAAATATCGAAAATAGTGTTGCCCAGTCAGCCTGTACCCCTGTACAATGGTGGCCTGCGTATGTCCTTCCAACTTGTGGCTCTCTGCCAACTTCACTGGCAATGCTATAGGACAGGAAGAAACTTGACTCACTCTAACAATAAATAGTGACTGGGGGAGCACCAATTTAGAAATGGATAGACATTCTTGGTGGCCATGTCCCGACCTAATCGAAAGCACATGTTCAGGATTCTGCACTATTTGTGTAGAGTAGAAGATGAACCTTTCCAGATCTTTGCCAGACTTATAACCCACTTCTGTTTCCAAGCATTTACAGGCAAAGAGAGTGAAGTGTAAGCCCATAGGATACTGGAAAGCTACAGGAAGTAGTTAATGATGCTCTTCTGTGAAAGTGTAGAGGGGGTTTTGACAGAAGGCAAAAGGGAAGGTTCATTATGTAAGAAGCTGTTCCACAGATAGCTGCCTTGGGTGGATACCACATTGGGGTGAGTAGATGCAAGAACAAAGGAGTCCTGGAAATGAGATTATTTACTAGCTAATAAATTATTTCATAATGATGTGCTGATCAGATGCATCTGATGGCTTGGGTCTCACAACAGGAGCAAGCCTGTGATGCTACATAGCATATCAGTATGAGAAACAGCCCTAGCTGCATGTCAGCAGCCAGCAGGGAAGCAGTTTTTGAGTCTCATATTCAGAGTGTCATGTGGCAGGATGGTTAGCAGAAGATGGGGTTATATTTCTTTACTTTCCTGCTACTAGAGAAAACCACAAATAAAACCAATCAATTTGTTTATAAAATAATACACCACTCTGTACAATAAAGTGTGACAGAATCTAGCCTGTACTGCTTAAGATAATTTAAAGTCCTAAAAGTAGATTTCTGTGCTGGTTTTAATGGAAGAAGAAGGCTCAAAGGATCATCTGGACATCTTCACTCCAGGTGGCCTTCCTAGGGTCTGTTTTTTGAGAAAGATCTTACAAATGTAAATGTCTCAAATACAGAAAATAAAAAAAAAACACGTTAGAAGACACAGACTCTTAAATAAAGGATCTGTGGGCATCTCTGTCCTCATATACAACAGAATTTTTGACATTTAATTTTCCCCCAAAAGATATGCCATGTAATTTGTTTGATGTCACTCAGCTGCACACAAGGATTTCTGCAACTACACTGAAAGAACGTGCTTTCTGCTGGAATGATTTGCTAGCACCAGGTGAGTTTTATGATTTACCTGAGATCAAGTTTTAAACAGAAGAAAACTTGCTTGGTCATGTTTCTGTAAATCCAGTATAATGTATAGATTGGATTTTCCTCTAATGTGTATATACATGTAAAATACATTTGCTTCCACGATGTGAGAAATGGAATCGCTCAAAAGAAAGTGGACATTGGATAAAGAAGAGAGAGAATTTAGAGTTAGCAATAGACATCATTATGCAAAGTCATCTTCTCAGAGACTCAGTGCAATTGTATTTTTCAGTATTCCTTGTCTCTTATGCTTCCTTAATATATTTCATCATCTCAACATGACTGTGAGACATTGAATGGATGACATGCAATTTTTCTGTGTGACAGAAATTATCTTGTACTGAAAAAATAGGAAAGTATCATTATTGTGTGAGCAATATATGAGTACTGGGCTAAACAGGCATTCTTGTTAGTTAGATGCCTGAGATCCCATACAAAACAGAAAACGTATTTTTTATCTTCTGAGTATGTTCATATACATATATATTCACACATGCATGTCTCTGTGGAATGTATTGTATTTAGAGTATACTTCTGTTCTGCATGGTTCAGGCATGGTTTTTTTGTGAACCTTTTTAATTCTGACACCCAAGTGTAAAATGTTTTAATGTTTAAACTGAAATCTGTTTTACATGCCCTATGAAAAGAATGAGCTATATAGTTTGTACACAGCAATGGTGTTTGAAAAAGCAGGCTTAGTTTTATTTTTAAATAATGAATAATCTATCTAAATACAAACCAGACTAACAAGAGCATTTTTGTATGCTCACTTTATTTGCATATTATTGAAGACTGACCTTGAACTTGAAAATGAAAATAAAGAAAATTTTGTATGTGACAGCTCATTAACCCATGCATTTTACAATCCTCTGTTTAGGGTTGATTTACCTTTAAGAGCTAACCCCAAAGACTTGCAAAAGTATAGTGAATGGTTCCCACCTCCTTTCTTCATGGAATCAGAATATTTCTTTATCTGATGTCCTCAGGCTGTGGCTCATGAACTCTGTGGTCACATCAAAGAAGATAAAATACATATGTTCCAAATAAGAAATTGCTGTATTTGCCCACGAGGGCTTACGAGGTCAAACTGAGAGAAATTGTAGCTCTGTAATTATAAATTGGAGAGTTTATGGTTGCTGCCATGGCTAAAGTGGAAGACACTGGGAATCCAAGACATTTTCTCTAGTAAGATGTCATATTACTGGGAGGAGAGAGGAGACCAAGAACTGAGTGTTGTAGAGCCAGCTCAGAGTCGCCTCTCTGAAGAGCAGATTCGGTACACACGGAGGTAATCCTCTCCCACTGTGCAGCCTCGGGAAGGCCCCTGCTGAAGCACTCAGCCATTTCTGGCATCTTACTTTAAGAAAGTCGGGAAGAAAGCAGCAAAAGCAGTGGGTAGCTTTGGAGGCACAGACCCCCAGGTGAGCCCGAGGAAGCCTACCTGCTTAGAGTGAGAGGGCACTGAGGGAAGCATGCTTGTGGTTTTCCTTTACATTGACTGGGAAAAAGCCAAGAAGAAATGGACTTAAATAAAAGTTGGAAAGAGTAATGCCAGAAAAGGAAACACTTTGAGGATCAATAAGTATTTGACAAGTTTTCTAGGAAAGTTTGTTAAGACCACAGTAGACAGGTAGTTGTTGTGTGGTGTACGGACAACTGATTCTTCGTTTCATCTGTTGTTCTAACACAACCCACAGAAACTCCAGTTCTACTGAATTTTCTAAACCCTCTTGTTCTCCAAGGAGATTTTCCCTGAATGTAACCTGGGAATAACGAAAGCATTTGACGTACAGTATTAGTCTTGTACTGCTACTCAGAGCTCATCCAAATATAATAATTGTGGGGAAAAGGGATGACATGCTCCTATCTGGCATGACATGTAAATGTAATGAAAGCCCCACTTCTCTTTGGGTGGTAATAATAGCTATTTGTCCTTCTTCCTCTCTTGTCATTGCACCCAGTTGCATCTAGAAGATTCATTACTGAGATTACTGGATAAGAACACAGGATGAGACAGTCCTTGTCCTAAGGTATACAGAGTGTTCCCTGAGACAAGACATGGGAACTGAGTATGATAAACAGAAAAAAAAAAAAAAAGCTGGCTGAGGAGAAGGATGATTCTGTATATAGCTATGTAGGCGTGTTCTGTTCATGAGGAATGTTCTGAAATCCTGGAAAAAGTCTGCATGGCAATAGTTAAGGTGTATAAACAAACAGGTAACCTCCAGAGGAATGGCTACAGGATA